GGATCGAGCCCCGCATCGGGCTCCCTGCTCAGCAGAGAGCCTGCTTCTCCCTCTCGCTCTCCCTACTTGTGCTCTCTCTACCTCTCTGTCAAATAAATAAATAAATAAAAATCTTTTTAAAAATGTGAACCCAGTATAGTAAGGACAAAATGAAATAATGTAGTAGAAAAGGACTGATCTATCAGATGCAAAGTAGTATTAGCACTAGATTGCTTCTGGTCAGCTCCTGGAGGGCTGAGTGGTTGTTTTTTCCTTTCAGCTTCCCAATCATTATCAACTGGGTGTTCAACTCCAGGGGATACTATTCAAATTATACTTAACTTGAAAAGGAACCATTCACAAAAAATACAGTGTGGATCGTGCCCCCCTGAGCGCTATTCACAGAAAATACAATATGAATGGGGCGTCCTGGAGTTGTGTCTTGCCTAGCCTTGTGCTAGAGCTAAGTACTCAGGAAATGTTTGCTAAATGAGTAAGTAAATGGAATCGAATTTTACTTCTGGTTCATTCCACTTCTCAATATAAAAAGGAAAATTGACCCGGTTGGAGAGTGGGAGAGGTGGAAAGGCTGTCATTAATCTACACACACTAATTAGGCACCTAGCTACAAGGCTTCAATGCTTCAATGAGATGGGTATGTCTGTGTGTCCTGGTGGTGATGTCGGGAGGAAGGAATGGATATCAGAGCAAGTATCCTATCCCCAAAGTCCTCTTCTTGATTTTTTTTTTTTTGAAATATTACATCTCAGTGTGGTCTGTATCACGTTGGTGATTTGACAGTCCTGGGTTTAGCACCCAAATTCTTACATTGAATTAACATTGTTTATTCGTTTAAAAAAAAGGAAGAAGAAAAAGAAAAAAAAAGAAAGAAAGAAAGAAAGAAATGAGTTCTCAGCGCCTACCAGAGCCAAATTCTGTCCTAGAGCTGGAAGTAGAGTGGTAAACAGGACAGCAGAGGTCCCCACCCCCCTTGGGGAAAACATACCACTTGTATCTTATATCACCCTGCAGGTGTTACCACTCTCAGAAATGGTGTTTAAATTGAGACTAGAAGTAGGTGTGAGAGTATGAATGATAGAGACGAAGCAAAACCAGGAGGGTTGACAAACATGGCCCCTTGGGTCTAGCGCAGGGGCCAGATCATGCAGGACTTGTGGAGTTATGATTTTTATCCTAAGGTAATTAGGAGCTAGTAAAGCATTTAAGAAGAAAAGTCACACGGTCAAATTTGAATTTGTTAACGGAACGCGGAGTCGATGGGGTCAAAAGGAGGGGGCAGGGAGACTCGTGAAGGGGCCACTGCGACTGTCTCGGCGACAGATGATGATGTCTTTAAACCAGGGTGGTGCCGATGGAGAGAAGTGGACAGTTCCAGGTACATTAGGAAGCGAAATTCGACGGGGCTGGTGACGGAAAAACAACCGTACTTCACAAAAGAAAGCATAGAGAAGAAAAAGGACGCATGTTGATAAAAGACCAGTTTACTTTGCTCCTTAACCCACCTGGCATCCCCCTTCCCTTAGCCCTGTCGCCTCAATATATGGAGATGACAGTAAGACGAGGGGCGGGGCAGGCGCCCACAAAAATCCGGGCACTTTTATTTAAAGCGGGTGGACGTCACCCGAGAACAGAATACAAAACACAAGGCACTTCCGGTTACTCCGGAAGTGAAGACTTCTAAGCTCCTCCGCCGGCGGAGGGCCAGGTTGAAGGGATGGCCGGGCGGACGGCGCGGCTGGTGCTGCTAGCTGGAGCAGCAGCGCTGGCAAGCGGCTCCCAGGGCGACCGCGAGCCGGTGTACCGCGACTGCGTGGACCGGTGCGAAGAGCGGAACTGCTCGGGGGGCGCACTGAGGCACTTCCGTTCCCGCCAGCCAATCTACATGAGTTTAGCAGGTAAGCCCCACCCCGCGGAAAGCCCCGCCCCTCAGCCTTGGCTCCGCCCCCTTGCTCCCCTAAACCACCTCTGAACCTTCGTTTACCCCTTCTCCGTTATGAGGGTGAATGGAGCCCCCGGTTGATCAGAGCAGCATCAGCCAGTCTTAGTTACTTTTTTATTTATTCAGTTAGCCATTTATTTAATATTCCTGGGAACTGGCCCTAGAATGACACTGAAATTGGACCCAGTGTCCTGGCATTCCGGGTCATAGTCTTCACGGGAACATTAGCCTTCTCCAGCCCAAGGGAGAGGATGATTTGAGTCCTAAAAGACCCCTAAGTCAAGCAATAGCGGCATATGGAGGAGGAAGGAATCATTTCTGACTTTGAGACTGTAGGGGCAGTGATCATCCTTGGAACTTTCTGCGAGGGAAGGGCTTCAGGATGGATACATTAAATTACACCTGAGCCATAGTGGTCAGCTGGTGTGTGACAGGAGTCACAGTAGGTCCGGTCATTTTCACAACCCTTGAAGGTGATTACCTTTCACCCAATTTTACAATGGGGAGACTTGGCGAGGTTAAGTGCCCTGCCCTAAGTCACACAGGCAGAAAGTGGTAAAGCGGAGTTTCCAGTTCTGGCCCGTCTGACTACAAGTTTGTGCTCTTTACTCTGCCTTTGCACTCCAGAGGGAACAGAGAGAATGAAGGCCCTGGGCAGATGTGAGCATCTCCAGTATCTTGGTTTACTCTGGGAGCAGGGTTCAGGGTACCTGAAAAGAAGTATGGGAAATAAAGTTGGATAAGCTGTTTGGGGCCTCAAAAGTCAGAGGGAAGAATCTGGGCTTCATTTTCATGTGAGCGGGGTAAGATGGCAAGAGTTCCTCCCTGGCGAGTGAGAGCAAAGCCTAAGTTCAGCAATAACAAACATAGCCCACCTATCCATTGATGAGTCTGTCAGATGCCAAAGTTCCCATCTTGGTGGAAGAAGAAGAGAAGAAACATCTCTGCTCGCAGCAGACCCCCGTCCCCTAAAACACACACACATACACACGCCTTTCCTATAGGTGTGTAGCCCACCATCTCTCATACAACCAAGTGGGAAGCTAGAATTTTGAGATTTCATCTGGTTCTTTCCAACCTGCAGGCCCTCTTAGCCTGGATTTGAGTTTGGGTCCCATTTGACCTCTCTCTGTACCTCCCATGATGGGGAGTTCACCGGGTCCCATTTCTGTGTTTCAGGCTGGACCTGTCAGGATGACTGTAAGTATGAGTGTATGTGGGTCACTGTTGGCCTCTACCTCAAGGAAGGTCACAAAGTGCCTCAGTTCCATGGCAAGGTGAGTTGGTGGGTCGGGGTAGGTATATGGTATATGGTGACAGTGCTGTAGGAGAAAGATACCCCTGAGTCAGGCAGTCTGAGGTGGGGGGTGATATGGGTTGGTGTTTAGGGCCAGTGCTTATTCTCAGAATCTCTGGTTTTCATATTATCAGATGGAACCAGTGAGTCTTGGCTCTGGATTTGGACTTAGAAGGTCTGGGAAGCTGTGTGACCTCAGAGAGTGATGGTGGACTTCTTAGGGGGGGCTGAATGTCCACCTTGCTACAAGAATGAATTTCCTGACCCCCCTCCCCAGCATGCTTTCTTTTGCTTCTTCAGTAGTAGTCTGGGTTAAAATAGTAATACCCCCCTTGGATTGCTGATGCTTTTTCTTTTCTTCTTCTTCTTCTTTTTTTTTTAATTTGAACTCAGCCAACGTAGAATACATTCTTAGTTTCAAAGGTAGAGGTCAGTTATTAATCAGTCACATATAACGCCGGTGCTCATCATGTCACGTGCCCTACTTAATGCCCATCACCCTGTTTCCCCATCCCCTGACCCCCTCCCCTGCTACTGTTTTGTCACCCAATATGACCTTGTTCTAGACTGTTGAGGTTGACAAGAATAATTCTCCCCAGTTTGTCAGAATAAGCTAAGGCTCAGAGGCCTATGGTCAGTGGTAGAAGAGGCACAGATTAGGACCTCAGGTTTCCGGATGGCGAGTCTATGCTCTTTCCACCAGGCCATACTGAGCCACCTACACTGGCCCGCCTGGTCTTCCCAGAGACCAGGCTTACAGTGCTGTGAATGCTGGCTGGCAAGGGGGAGGACCTTCAGCTGGGGCCTGGAGGAGAGCACAATGACCCAAACAGGGACTGGACTTGAAGCTTTGGCCAAGGTCCAGAGCTAAGGAACCATCTGAAGACCTGTTGATGTGGCATGTCAAGGAAAAGCAGGTCGGGCTGGCTGGGGGTTGCTTGCCCCTCAGGCCCCCTCCATGTGCTCCCTTTTCAGTGGCCCTTCTCCCGGTTCCTGTTCTTCCAAGAGCCAGCTTCTGCCATGGCCTCTTTCCTCAACGGTTTGGCCAGCCTGGTGATGCTGTGCCGCTACTACACCTCCGTGCCAGCCTCCTCCCCCATGTATCCCACCTGCGTGTCCTTCGCCTGGGTAGGTAACTTGCCGGGACTCCTGCCCTACACCCTCATCTAGGAAGGAGGAACTCTTCGATCCCCATTCTCACCCAACAGGGCTTGCCTTCCCCTGCCTTCCTCTGTGTTTTCCAGGTCAAAAACTGCAGCTGTGGGTGCTTAGGTCTAGGGAGAAAACAGGGAGGTGCTGGATCAGACCTTACCTTTCTAGCAGAGTCCTAGGCCAGGCTGTTTGTGGGGGAGGGAAGGAGGAAGAGAGGGAGGGAGGGAGGGAGTAGAGAATTTTGTCCTGAGGGCAGAAGCCACTAAGAGACCCAGTAGGGCAGTTTACAAGCACAGAAGGGACATGCGTGGTAGGGAGCATGCTTGTAGGGACCCCTCTGGATGAGTCCAAGCAACCCTCAGTCCCAGCCCAGGCCTGGAGGTACGGCAGCCACAGGACTCCACGCAGAGCTCAGCCTGGTCTTAGACCCTCCTGGAGAAACTGAAATACATCCCATGTGAGTTTCCAGAGCAGTCTTTGGAGCTTCACAGTGCAACTGGGCAGAGGAGCCAGCATCAAGGGCCTGGAATCATGTAAGAAGCACAGACTAGGGTACAGCTCTGCACCATGACGACCTTGGGGAGGGTGTGAGAGTAAGAGGCTGCCCTCAGAACCCCCACTGTAAGCTTCTGTGCTCACTCACCTGCCTGCCACCAAAGCATCCATTCATTTGTGTATTGAGTACCTCCCATGTGCCCAGCACTCGGTTGAGTGCTGGAGATCCAAAAGTATATAAAAACGGGGCATCTGCCTGGCTCAGTCAGAGAGCATGCAACTCTTAATCTCAGGGTCCTGAATTCAAGTCCCACGTTGGGTGTAGAGCTTACTTAAAAAGACAAAGCAAGAAAAGCAAAAACAGGTTCCTGCCCTCCAGTCCTAACCACACAAGCACACAACTGAAGGTAAAAGTGGAAGTCTGGAAAAGTGTGGTGGAGGAGATGTGTGCTGTAGGGGCATGTGAGGGGGCACTGGACTAGACCAATACAAGGCAGTCAGGGAGGGCTTCCCGGAGGACGGGGCCCTGGAAGTAAGATCAGGATGATGAATGACTGTTAGCTAGGTGAATTCAGGGAGAGTAGGAGGAGTCATCTACACAGAAGATGCAGAATGTGCACACACAGAAGAGAGTGAGAACCTGAAAGGCCGGCCGGGAGGTCTGCCATGCTGGAAGCCAGAGAGTGGGTGCGAGACAGGTGGCGGGTGGGCAGGGAAGGGGGCCAGCCTGTGGAGAGCCTGGGGGCATATTAACACTTTCATCTTGACTCTCTCGAAGCCTCAGGAAGGCCTGAGGGTTGAAGAGGAGAGGTTTCAGGAGTAGATTTGCTTGGAAAGCTCATTTTCTGGCTATTGTGGTAGCAAATAGATTAGAGGGGTGGGAATGGTTGCAGGGCCTAGTAAGCAGAGGGGCGGAAGGTGGGGGAAGTGGGATCCCCTTGGAAAGGTCAGCAGGGCACAGTGTGGCTGGGTGGAGAGGAGAGGAGGGAGAGGTAAGGTGGCACAGAGAGGCCCCGAGTGCTGGGGGGCAGGGATGCTTGTGTAGGCTGGGGCCTGGCATCCTCTTACCCTGTCCTGGCCATGGGTGGCCTGGAACTACCACTTCCTGTTTAGGCCGCTCTCAGAGGAGGGAGTTTGGTCCTGGCCAAGAAAGCAGGAAGGGCAGAGAAATTGAGGAGGGTACACCTGTCTCCTTTCCCTGGGGGTTCTTCCAGGGTCACTGCTGTCTGGGCCCACAGCCTGCACCCCCCCCCGCCCCCACCCCTACTAAAGAGCACTGGACAGCCCCGCCTGACCTATCTGAACAAAGCTGAGCCCCGCCTTGGATAGACCCATGGGTCTGGGGGGAACTCAGAGGGTCCCAGCCTTTGCCAGAGGTCACGTCACAACTCTTGTCTTGATCTCCCTGATTCTTGGGTCTTTGATCTTGCTGGTATCTGCCACTCAGCTTCCTTCTCGGGGAGGGTCAGGCCTGCTGGTATCCCGCAGTCCAGTCTACTGAAGACACTTAGGGACAGAGCAGGAGATGTTAGGTTGAGAGAGGGCAGATACCTGGGGACATCTTACAGGATATGGGGTTCTGGAACATGGAACCCCCACTTGCTGGCACTAGGTCCTCGAGGGAACGAGTGTCGGTGCCCACACTCCCTTTGATTTTACGCTTGATCTTTACACTTGATCTTTGGTCCCGTTTGCCTTGTTTACGGGAGGGAGGGATCCTGAGCTGAATGGAGGGTGTGGCGGTGGACTTTGTCTAGGGCTGGGTCTTCTGGAGTGAGTGAGGCTCCTGATTGCTGTTGGGATAGGGTCGGAAGGCCTTTTCCAGGTTAAGTCTTGGGAGAGTTGTCTCTGTCTTTTCCCCTGGGAAATGAGGAGCTGCTCCCCCAGCAGGGCTGGCGAAGCTTTGGCACAAGGGAGTAATCTCTGCCTTGACATCTGGTCCTGGCTTGGCTGGACATCAGCCAGGCTTTGGGAGAGCCTGCCAGAGCTCTTTGACTTCTGGAAACTAGGGGTGCCTGCTCTGTGCAAAGCCAGGAGGCCAAACCAGTTCCCCACCTTTCGTCTAGTAAGGAAAGGTCCTTAGAAGTAGAGGGGAGGGAGAGAATGAAGGGCCAGGAGAGCCCAGACTGTCCCTGCAGGTTGATGGGTGGAGGTGGGGACTGACTGTGTTCTGCCTCTGCTGCAGAAACCATGAGAAGAGACAGGTTGAGCCTGCAACAGAATGATGGTTAGACTTCAGGAAGGACTTCCCACTGGTCAAACAGGAGCCAGTGCAACAGACAAAGGCAGGAAATCAAGGAATCCTTTTTGATGGTGGAAAAAGCTATTTCCCCCCCCCATCTCATCCCCCTCTTCCCCTCTTCCCTCTAAAGAGGGAGGTGGGGCAGGGTTGCCCTGCCTGAGGCAGGGGGCGAGACACTGTGGCCTGTTGGGGGGGGGGCAGGATGGCAGCAGGCATCATATTTAACATTCTGCCTCCCCCACTTCTGAGACACCAAGCTATTTAAAGAGCCACATGTCCCCACCGTCACGGTGTCAGTGACAAGCCCCGAGCACTGGGGCTTAGCACTGGGGTCAAATTCCTGACAGATCTGGCTCATTTGGCATCCAACCAGTTTCACGGCTGTGATATATTTGTCTCAATTTTCTTATTTTCCGACAGACTGAAACAGCCTCCTGCTCTCCCTCCCGGAGCCTTCCCTGTCCCCCTCCATTCCCACCCTTGTTGGCACCCTGCCCCTGGCCTCCCCCTTTCCTCAGTGTTTACACAAAGCTCCCAGTGCCTGCTGGGCAGCCCAGTGCCTTCCCGGCCTGGCTGGTTGGCCAGTTACCATCGCCCCCTCCCACTTCTACCCAAGCTTGGCGGAGGACTCCGGGAGCAGCCACACACTTGGGTCTCTTGGAGCCTCTCCCTTCCTTCCATGTCTGTCTGTCCTTTTCACTTGAGTCTTGATTACAAACTCCGCGTGAAAAGAAATAGTATCTCTTCCGTGAATCCGTGGGGAGACTGACATTTAGGGACCCATTGTGTGCCAGTGGCCACAGCAGCACCCGTCCAATGAGTGGCTTCTCTCTGCCAGGCATTCTGCAGACAGCATCTTCAGGACCCTTTCGTGCACTGAGTATCTTTATTAAGCCGCTCTGGTAGATGAGACAGCTGAAACTCAAGAGATTTTATTGGTTCAAGATCACAGAGCTATTTAGGGACTGAGGCAGAACTTGAACTCAGGGCCCATCTTATTATAGAGGCTGTGGACATTCTGCCTCCAGCATGAACAGTTTTGGGGGAAGGGGTCACCACGGGGAGATCACCTCTTTTCTTCACCTGGACTTCTCTGGCCTTTGGGGAGAGCGGAAGGCAGACTTGGCCTCTTTGGCCTCAAGTCTGTGGAGAGATGTGAGGGTCCCATTCTGGTCAACAATTTGGGAAGAAATGCCCCATCATGTTTGACCTGTCCTGGGCTGTACACTGCACTTGTATTGCTCATTAAATCCTTGTGAACACTATGATCATTCCCATTTTACAGATGAGAAAACAGGGGCCAGCAAGGCTAAATAACTTGCCCAAGGACACATGGGAAATGTAGGGCCAGGATTTGAACCCTGGCACCCTAACCCTGGGGGCTGCATTCTTTTTTTTTTTAAGATTTTATTTATTTATTTGACAGAGAGAGAGATCACAAGTAGGCAGAGAGGCAGGCAGAGAGGAGGAAGCAGGCTCCCTGCTGAGCAGAGAGCCCAATTCGGGGCTCAATCCCAGGACCCTGAGATCATGACCTGAGCCGAAGGCAGAAGCTTAACCCACTGAGCCACCCAGGCGCCCCAGGGGATTGCATTCTTTTTTTTTTTTAATTCTTTTTTTTTTTTTAAGATTTTATTTATTTATTTGACAGACAGAGATCACAAGTAGGCAGAGAGGCAGGCAGAGAGAGAGGAAGGGAAGCAGGCTCCCCCCCGCTGAGCAGAGAGCCCGATGTGGGGCTCGATCCCAGGACCCTGGGATCATGACCTGAGCCGGAGGCAGAGGCTTAACCCACTGAGCCACCCAGGCACCCCGGGGGGTTACATTCTTTTTTTTTTTTTTTTTTAAAGATTTTATTTATTTATTTGAGAGAGAGACAGTGAGAGAAAGCATGAGCAAGGAGAAGGTCAGAGAGAGAAGCAGACTCCCCGTGGAGCTGGGAGCCCGATGCGGGACTCGATCCCGGGACTCCAGGATCATGACCTGAGCCGAAGGCAGTCGTCCAACCAACTGAGCCACCCAGGCGTCCCGGGGGGTTACATTCTTAATGACACTTCTCTCCCAAGTCCGAGGAGAAGGTCAGAAGAGGAGTCCTTCATAATGGGACAGGGTCCAGGGGAGAAAGGACTTTTCAGGGGTGCAGAGTCCAGGCTTCAGGTGAGTGTCTGTAAGTGGAAGGCCCCCTGGAGATGCAGTTGAACAGGGCAGCAGGCGGCTCTCACTCTGTTGGTGGAGCTAAGCCTTGGTCCCATGCTGTCCCCCAGCCCAAGAACCACCACTTAGCTCAGTCCTCTTGTCACCTCTCCCTTTCAGCTGTGGGTGACAGGGAGGCCTGGTTGGTCGCCAGTCCCTGCCACCTTCCCCTTCACCTCCCTCTCCTACTGGCTCCAAGGCCACTGTCCTCCCTGAGGGCGTCCCTATTTCTGGCCTGCCCTGGGGCACTGTCTCCAGCCCCAAGTCTCCTCCTCTCCCCACGCTGATCCTGAGCCTCACAGACCTTTTGGGAGCGGTGTCTGAGAAGCCACTCCATGCTGTCCCTGCCTCCAGGCCATGCCTCTTATACCATCTCTGGGGAAGGGTCATGGGGACTGGATGGCCATCTTCCAAAGAGCACGCAGCCTGGCATGGAACAGTCCCCCGATGTTGGGGCTGGAGAGGGAGGAAGGGTCACTTAGGTTAGGCCCTGATGAGTCACAGGAGGAAGCTTAGGCCGAGGGCAGGGCCTTTGTCCAGGTCATGGGGAGCATAAGCTGAGAGAGAGACTCAGCCTAGGACCCAGGCCAGACAGGCTCGCATGGGGGGGCTACCTGAGCCTCCAGAGACTTCTACTACTGACTGCCTTTGCAGAGAGCCTGGCCTGCCGCCACCCCTTTGCTTTTTCCGTGCTCTCATAAACCCCTTTGGGCCTGCAGTAAGGGACCCATCCTGCCGCCTGGCCTTCCTGCTGCAGGACTGGGTGGAGAGGCTTCTTCCCGGCCAGTTTTCCTGCTGTGCTGGACCCAAATGAGCAGCTCCTGGCCTTCACCCATCTCAGGCAGGCTTGTTCCCGGCCTCAAGGGCACCCCTCCCTATCTCCAGTGCATCCCAGGCCAGACCTCTCGCTGCCTGTTTTTCCCTTTGATGGGCTGTCCCTGGTTTCCCAGTGTAGGAGCCTCCCCACCCACCCCCGAGCCCACCCTTTTCTCCATGATCTGGGCATCCACCATGGGTACCGCCCCAGCTCCCACAAGATCTAGGGTTCATTTGCAAGAGGTTTTGTGCTGTCTCCTTGGCAGTTTATTTCCAGGGGAAAGGCCCCAGACGTGCTCCTGGGCCCGTGCCCACCACAGCCCCTCCAGCCTTCCGCTCCTCCCAGAGCTTGGGAGCAGCAGGCACTGGTCTGGCGGGTTGGGCCGGCCCACCCAGGAGGAAGCTGGGCTCCCCGGGCCAGCCTCCTCCGTAGAGACTTGGCCCCAGTGGGATCAGCTCGATCTCCCTGCCTTGCTTGCTTTGCTCCGGACACGCCCCAAGCTGGCTCGAGCCCCTCCACCCCACCCACTTCATTCCCGCCCCCAGAGGCTGAGGTCACCAGCTCCCCTGGCCCGGGCGGGGCTGTCATCACCTGCCGGTTGGGGGAGGAGGTGAGGTCCCCCGGGGGTTGTTGTCTTAGTGATTGAGTAAGCAGGGAACTTGGCTCTGCCAGAACTGGTTCCTAGGCCAGGCCGGAACCTGTGGAGGCCCCATCCCCCGTGGCCTGGGGGTCAGGGCTGCAGCCGGCTGAGGGTACTGTTTGGTGGGGAGGGGGGGGCTTTGGAGGCAGAGGGAAGCATATTTCTGTGCTCCAGAGTGAGACCCATGTGGGTGCCCTAGGGCTTCTCCCCAGCTCAGGACACCGTGCTTACTAGCCCCTCCCTGCAGGTTTCCCTCAATGCTTGGTTCTGGTCCACAGTCTTCCACACCAAGGACACCGACCTCACAGAGGTGAGCGCCCCTCCTGCTCCCCCTCCTGTGTAGGGCAGTCCCAAAGGACCCCAGAAGGGGTTGAGGTCTCTTAGGTTTCCTAGGGACTCCGAATCACAGAGCCCTTGCTCCGCCCCAGGCCCTTTTAACCTCTTCGTGCACCTGCGCCTCCCTTGACCCTTGGGAGGCAGGTGTGAGCACTGGCTCTTAACTGATGAGGCAGCTGAACCTTGGAAAGGCCCAATGGCCTGCCCAAGGTCCCCCAGCCAATGAGGGAGCCACCGGGACCTGGGCCCACAGCTGTGGGACTCACCTGCGCTCTGCTTTCTGTGGCGTCCTGGAGCCCTGATAGGCACCTCCCCAATGCCCCCAAAGCCTTGCTGCTGTGGACATTTTAACAAGTTCTATAATGTGACTACAGGGATCTGACCATTAAATTCAGGAGTGAAACAGCAACAGACAGAGGGAGCGCGAGACATTGACACCACCCCCCAGCACCCCCGCCCCATCACATAGGCCTAGGACTTCCAGACAGTGCCTCTGCCACCCCATCTGGCCCCCTGCACCCTATCGGTGCTGGGTCCTCTCGGGGCCCTGCCCACCTCCCCCTCCCTTCACGCTGGCCCCTCATCCAGCATTCCCTGTCCTCAGAAAATGGATTACTTCTGTGCCTCCACCGTCATCCTACACTCCGTCTATCTGTGCTGTGTCAGGTGAGCCCATCCTGGCCCCAGCAGGGGCAAAATCAGGCACGGGGGGCAGAACCGGGTGGCCTCACCCATCCCTAGGGGTGTTTCCCCCCGGGGCCTTGCAGCCCAGCACACGCATGCGCACGCACACACGCACACACACACCCTCCAGGCTGCTCTGGATGGGGACTCTGGGGTAGAGCGAGTGGCCCTGACTCTTTACAAGGAGCAGTTGCACTTGGTCCCAGGCCCCTGGAGGAGGAAGGCAGTGGCTTCCCCATACTGACGCCAGGGTGAAGGGCTGCTTAGGGAATGCTGCTCTGGGCACGGGCCACCCTCCACCTGAGCAGCTCTGGATGGCGGGGCAGGACCGTGGGGCTGCAGCACCCAGCCGTGGTCAGCGCCTTCCGGGCCCTCCTGCTGCTGATGCTGACGGCGCATGTCTCCTACCTGAGCCTCGTCCGTTTCGACTATGGCTACAACCTGGCGGCCAACGTGGCTATTGGTGAGGCAGGAGGAGGGACTGAGGCCCCGAGGGGTTGTGGGGAAAGGGGGGCACTTGGACCACGTGTAAAACTGCTGGCCTGGGGTGCAGGAAGGGATTTGGTGGTGTTCCTAGAGAAGGTTCTAGAGAGGCTCTTAGGGTGGGGGAGGGGGAAAGAACTTGGGGTGGGAGAGGGGAGGCTGGGAGGAGAGTCGGAAGATGGCCCTGGGGTCAAAGAGCATGAGGACAGGGGAGGCTTTGTGGGGGGCAGGGCAGAGGGAGGTGCAGGCAGTGAGCCTCTCCCCACCCCCACCCGTGCGCAGGCCTGGTGAACGTGGTGTGGTGGCTGGCCTGGTGCCTGCGGAACCAGCATCGGCTGCCTCACGTCCGCAAGTGCATGGTGGTGGTCCTGCTGCTACAGGGCCTGTCCCTGCTCGAGCTGCTCGACTTCCCGCCTTTCTTCTGGGTCCTGGATGCCCACGCCATCTGGCACATCAGCACCATCCCTGTCCATGTCCTCTTTTTCAGGTGGGTGCTACTCGCCGCCCAGTGGGCCCCTTGTTTGTGTCCATCCTCACTGGCTTCTTGGAGGAGACTAAGGCCTCTGTGCACGGTTCACCCCCTGCTGGCTTGCCCATGCTCTCCCCCGTGGGGTGCTTTCAAAGCCAGACCTCAGTGGGCTCCTCCCTCTGCCCACAGCTTTCTGAAAGATGACAGCCTGTATCTGCTGAAGGAATCAGAGACCAAGGTCAAGCTGGACTGAAGGCCCTGGGAGTGGGTCTGCCCTGCTGGGGATCCTGCCCTCTCCCTGCTGGCTCCCCTTCTCCCCAGAATCCTTGAGACGATTTTTGTCTTTTAGCATCTTGAATTTGGACATGAAGGGTATGGGCCCAGAATCATGTAACTGCCCATCACCTCGCTTGCCCCGACATGGCCCTCACAGATCTCAGGTTCTGTTCAGGCTTCGCCTGTCAGCATCTGGGGTTGGAGCATGGGCGGCACCTCTGGTTCCTGGAGAACTGGAATGGAACTGTGTTCTTAGCTCTGCTGAGAGGGGAGCTGCCTCTGCTTCCCCGTCAACCTCTTCCTCACATCCCTCAACGCCTGGGTACTTCCCACACCTGTCTGTCTAGCTGGGAGACAGGCCTTTGGGAACACAGCGGGGGTCCCCCCCTCTTACCCCTGCCCTCCTTCAGGGCACCACTAGGTGGCGATAGACTCTTGCTCTTTGGCTACCCAAGTTTCCTGGCAGGTCTCCTCCCCATGGGATCTTGAAGGACCAAGCTGCTGAGATTGGCAAGTGGTCTCATTCCGACTGTTGCCTCAGCCAGACCCCCAGAGAGCCCAGGACAGGAGTCCCTCTGGCTCCTTGGCTGGTCTGGTCAGAAGCCTGCACATGAATGTGTAAGGGGGTGTGAGCTAGACTGAGCGCATGCATAGGTGACAGGGTGGTGCGCATAGGCCTGAGTGTGTGGGATGCTGGGTGGGACAGTGGGTGTGAGCATGTGTGGAGAGTGGGGAGGGCCGTGAGTGGTTTGAAAGTGTGTGTTGCAGGACAGGTGGATGAGTGTAGGGCAGAGCAGTTTGCAGAGACTGGGGGTGAGGGGAGTGTGAGTGCCGTTGAGTGTGCCACGTGGCGGCGGCGGGGGGGAGGTTGGAGGGAAACAGGTGCTCTAGTCACCTGTCTACTGCGTGCAGCTCCGCACAGAGCCCCAGGCCAGGCTGGGAGCCCAGACGTCCTCAGGGGCTGGCTCGGTGGGGTTCGGCTGTCCAGACTGCACGTGTGTCTTCCTGTCTGTTGCCCCCACTTTACAGTCGCCCTCCAGATCTCAGAGGACCCACACACAACTCAAATCACCCTCCAGAACCAGCCTCTCGGGAGGCCGAGGGAGGAAGGGCCTCTCCAGCCTTCCTGTCCGTCTCCTCTCCTAGGCTTGGTTGGCCTCCCCCTCTCCCCATGCCCTCCCTGCTAAGGCTCTCTGTCACAGACTGAGGCAATCTGAGGAAGGAGCGGCGAAGGCCTGTGGCTGGGTCTGGTTTCTGGCCTTCCCAGAGGCAGGCAGGGGCCATGCTGTATCTGTACCCCAGTAAAGGTGACCCCTGCTAGCTGCCGGCAGCCTGAGTACATTCTTGCTCCGCAAGGATAGCATGTGGAGCTCCAGAAACTTTCCATCCAAAGGCAGTCTCTGTGATTGGAGCAGGGAATCTGGATTCTTGTTCTTTCCCAGCCCCCTTGTCCCTCCCTGGGGTGTAGAGGTGCTGTGCTAGGACTCCAGCCACAGACTTGGGTGGCCTGTGTTTCTTTTGATATTGAGAACTATTTTAAGATAGGAGGGTAGCAAGGGACAGTCTTAATAAACCAATTCTCAGCCTCACCTACCCTTGTTTAGCTCCTTTGTGTGAGTAGTGTGGGCCAGAGGGAAGGAGCACACAGCTGGCTGGAGGCAGTAGGCAGGTGGGGTCTCTACCTAGGCACGTGGAGGTGGGGATGGCAGGGAGCAGATGCAGAGCTTGGGGGAGTGCTCTGGGAGAGGGAACTGGTACCTGGATTGTCACTCCCTCCCCCTATACTCTCTACTCAGTCTCCTGATTATCCCTCTCTCCTCCCCTTCTGGTCTAAACTAGGCTCTGCTGCTGTTTGTTACTTAACCTTTCTTAGCTTCACCTGCAAACAAGACAACAGGACCTGCTGAGTGTGAGGACTAGTGTGCCTGGCACACAGCAGATGCTGAACGAGCTCCCTCTGGCCTTGGCTTTCCTTAGTTTGGGAAGAATGAGTGGTAAAGAAACCTACTGTCATGGAAGCTTCTGGAAAAAAAGGCTAGGGTTGGTGGCTTCCACAGCCCCACAAGCCCAGAGAGAGCCACAAACAAAGCTGATGCTCAGCAGGAGGAACTTCTTTATTATGTGCCACCTCACATCACAGGGGATCTGGGTGCACTGGGCCATCACACCGCCACCTTCTTCTGGGCCCAGGCGAAGAAGATGCCCTTGACATCATCTACCCCTGTCTGAAGGCAAGCAGGCATGACGTAGGTGCGCAGGTCCCGCACCTCATAGCCGCTGCGGACCAAGGCCTCCATGACCTCCTCCTTCCCCATGGGTACCACCGCCAGCCTGGCCTCCCCAGCCAGGTACCATGACTCCTCCAGGGCCCCGATGAGGAGGAGGTGCCCCCCAGGCCTCAGCAGGGTGGTGATGTGGTCCAGGGCCCTCTGGAAGCTGGCAAGGTCCGGGCTCACGGCCTCCAGGCAGAAGGTAGAGACCAGGGCATCAGCAGGCAGGGGCGCCGGGCTCCCAGCACCCAGTGGCTGGGGCTGGTGCACATCGATATGCAAGACCCGCTTCACCCTGGCTCGCAGCTGGAGCTCCTTCTCCTGCCAGGACTCCCTGTGCCAGGGCAGGACCAGGGCTCAGGGCCACCCCATGCTCAGTCCTCGGTTGCCCCCCACCCGCGCTGCACGGGCAACCCCCTTACCCCTTGCCCTCGATGAGGCAGACGTGCCGACTATAGGTGCTCCAGTCGAAGGCGCCTGGCTCCTCCCGCAGCCAGAGCCCCAGCTCCTGGCGGTTCACCTCCAGAAAATCTGTCAGGGTGATGTCCTCAAAGTGGGCGCAGGCGCTGAGCAGCTGGTATATGGTAGGGCCTGAACCAATGTCGATGAGGCTGTGTCCTGACACCTCACCTGGAGTGGGGGGCAGCGGAGGAGGGTCCTGTGCCAGCCCTGTCCAGGCTCCCCCGCCTCAGTCCCTCCCTCCCTCACTGGCTTCTCCCAGTTGTTCTCCCTTCCTCCAGAAGTGTGCCTCTCTCTGGAAAAAGCATTAGCTAACCTGGGTCTGAGTCCTGGCCCTGACGCCGACTGGCCGACTTTGGGAAAGGGGCTGAACCCCTCTGAGATTCAGTTCCACATCTGTACGACTGTCCCTACCTGTGAGGCTTAGGTGGGGAAGTCCTGAGGTCCCTTGCAGTTCAGCCAGGAGCCTCTCTTCCCTCTCCCATCTCCTCCTCCTTCTCTGTCTCAGGAGGTCTGTGGGGTCTCTTTCCTGCATCTGCTATTTCACTTCCCAATGCCTTCTCCACGGGTCTCTCCTCTGCGCCCTAAGAGATGCTGCTTCTCTTCCTCTTCTATTTTCACCTCTTAACAATCTATCGCTGCTTCTTGGTTCCCATAGGGCTCGCGCACGTATCCCCGTTTAGCTCCCCGATGCCTTCTTGTCCTCTGGGCCTCAGTTTCCCCGCGCTCACCCGTGGCGAAGGTCTGCGCCAAGCAGCGCAGCTTCCAAGGCCCGACGCCATCCGGGTGGCTCAGGTCCCCCCGAGGGGGCGCGTAGTTGTTGAGGAGGTAGGCGCGGGGCTCGAAGCGCTGGTAGGCCAAGGCGACGGCCGCCGGGCCCGGGTCCCGGGCCGTGCCCGCAGCGGGATTCGGGTCTGCCTTGCTCATGCCGCCGCCGTCGTCCGCGCTGTCCTCTCTCGCCTCGCGGCCCCTTTATCTGCTGTGCGACTCCCCGCCCGACCCTCCGCTGCGGGGGCGGCGGCCGCGCCAGGAGCCGCCCGGGGCTCGGCGCTGCATCTCCCCTACCCCATCCATCTCCCTTAGTGTCGGAGCAGCAGACACTCGGGGCGCGTGGGGGGGGGGGGCGGCCCGGGCCTGCCTGCCACACCCCCACCCCCCGGCCCCGCAGCTGCTCCCGCCGCCCCCCTTTGCCTCACGGGTCCAAGCCAGCTCCGTGCCCCCAGGACCCTTAGATCCCTGTCCCGCCGGTCTGCAGCTCCTCCCGTCGCTCTCCTCCGGCTCCCCAGCCATTCATTCGCCCACTTCCCCCACCACCCCATCCCTTCTCTCTGGCCAGGGTTCGAATTAGCCCCCTCCCCGCGCCCTCGTCCCCGACCCCGGGCCCAGCCCCTGCCCCGGGCTCTCCTTCCTCAGGGACATCCCGTCCAACATCCACACCTTTCCCTGGTTAGGTCACCTCAGCTGCACCCCCCACCCGTCGCCCCTCCTCCAGCCCTTTTCCGTCCTTTCCTACCAACCCCTGTCCCCCAGGGCCCTCCATCCCCACCCCGGAAAGGACAGTCCGTTCTGGCCTCTGTTGCGGTCGCCCCAGGGCCCCAGAGCGGAGCTCCAGCCCCGCCCGTCCGCCCGTCCGATGGCACCTGTGATAGGGGATGTGAGCGGAGCTAATGCACTTAACCAGCGGTACAGCAGGGCCTCCCCGCGGCCCCTGCGGGCTCAGAGCCGCTTATCTGGGGGCTTCCGAGAGCAGAAGGCTCCGGTGGCTCTGGCCACGGCCTTGTCCGGGTTGCGTGACCGTGGGGAGGGCGGAGGGTGCAGGCGTTCGCCCGGTGTCCCTGGGCCCCAGAGGGCGCAGGCTGGGCTTTCTGCACCAAGGGATTTAGGGTTACATCAGTCTGGGGTCTCTGATCCCTCTCCTCCCCAGCCCACACTGCATTCCCCTCTTGGGGAGGGGGCCAGTCGAGGTCTGCAGGTCCTGCTTGGCACTACAGGTCAAGATGCCAGGGTCTTCCCTCCTATTTCCCCAGATGGGAGGTGGATTCCATGGGGCCGTCCCGTGGTCTTCCTGGAGTTGGACCGCTCCAGGCCAGTCCACTGTTGCTCTGCCCTGGGGAGGCTACCAGCCCCTGTCCAGATGGGCCCCAAGCGTCTTCTGTGCCCTCACCTGTGTGCCTTCCCTGGCCCCCACCTTGTCCCAAGGGGAACGTGTCTCCTTGTTGAGCCGGCCAACCAGACTGGGACAGGAGTCACAGCAGCTGTGGGGGTCACAGACAGTAACCTGAGCCTCCACTCCCCACAACCCGCCCTGGGCTCCCTGGGCAGGGAGGGTAGAGTGCCTGACCCCCGGCCAAGGATTGATTCTATCTGGGTTCAGGTCTGAAACGTAGGTCAGCCTTGGGGTCAATGACCCCATTCATACCCTTAGGTACAGCCAAGGACAGTCCTGGTGCCAGCCCCCTCCATCTACTCCATGAAATCATTTAAGCAGGCCCTGGATGCCAGCTGGCCTGCTGGGCACTGCCCAGTGCCAGGGGACTGAACACAGAGGCCAGGCACTGACAGCAGACCCATGCTGGACAGACACCCTGTTTACAGCTCTGTCCCGTCTCCCCCACCCCCACCCAGCATGGAGTGTACCCACTAGCTCTGCCATATTTAGCTCAGATGCAAGGCTTATTCCCAGAAGTGAGCGGGGCGGGGGGGGGGAGTAGCGGACACCAATGGGCTGGCCCCCACAAGGAAAGAGACTGGAACAAGAAAAGTCTGGAACAAAACTGAGTGTTTATTGCAGCGCTAACAGAGGATGCTGGGGGCTCCACTCTGCCTCTGCCTTCTTCACATCCCCCTCACTCCAGTCTCCTCCAAGCCTCCTTCCTAGAGCATTCCAGATCCCCTTTTCCTCGTCCTTCTCTGAAGCTGGAGCCTGGACCAGGGTCACTCGCCTTGGGGACCTCTGTCCTCACCAGCATCTTTTGTCCTTTCTCCCGGGGCTGGGGATGTTTGGCTGTGCCAAACTCTCCAGCCTTTGTGCCCACTGTCTTTGCTCCCCTCCCTTTGGGAACTCAGGGGACCCAGGCATCCTGGCCTCTGGTTCCCTCCTCCCCTAGCCCCCAACTCTGGGCAAACTACAAAGCATCCATGGCCAGCAGTTCCCCTCCATGGTACTAGCCAGGAAGGGCCCGGCCCACGGCAGGCACATTAGAGCCCGAGTCACCGTCTGTCTCAGCCTCTCTGTGCTTCCTGGGACATGGAGCGGGACAGGGAGCGACGCAGGGCGCCGGGCTTGCTGACAGGCACCACAGGGGGCAGCTGCTTGGTGATCTCGGCCACGTCCTGGCGCTCCACACACTGGCCACCCAGGGCTGTCTCCAGTGCCAGTAGCTCCCGCAGCTGGGTGGGGGTGTCCTCGCGCTCCTCCTTGGTGGCACCCATCTTGGCGGGGCTGAAGATGGGCAGTGGCAGCACACGCTGGTAGGGCAGCAGATACTCCTGCAGCCCGTGCCCGAGGAGGCCCATCCGCATCACCAACCGGGGAGAGCGCTGCACCAGCGCCCGGCACTGGCCCTGCCGGTGGTAGGTCTCCTGCCGCTCGGTGTCCTCCTCATGCAGAGAGCAACTGGGGAGGAGAGGGCAAGGTGGTACCGAGCTCCTGAGATGTGCTACCCTGCAGTCCCGAGCGGGGCCGGGGGCTCCCTGGGGTTTGCCGGGTCCTGGGGTGCAGAGTGACCCCACTCTCCCCACTGGGACCTCTCCTGGTCCCCTCTCCCCAGAAACTTCTGCCGGGCTTTGTGCTCTGGTCTCCTGGGGCTCAGGAGGGGTGTTCTCAGGGAGAGGGGACTCCCAGCTGCGTGGCACTCACCCCTCCTCAGGCCGCGTGGACAGCGTCAGGTCCTTCCATTCAGCCCAGAAGGCTTCTCGCCGCTCGCGGTCCTCCTCGGACACCTGGCAGGTCAGCTCTGCAGCGGCCATGATCAGGGCTCACTGGCTCTCAGCTCTGCTCCTCCCAGGCCCTTTAAATAGCCCCCTCCCCCACCTCCTCCAGGGGCTATTTTCAGCCCCTCTGGCGTCAGATGCTATAAGCAGAGCCAAGGCTCACCGATGAGGGACTCTGGGCCCAGGGTGGGGGTGGGGGTCAGCAGTCGGCTTCTAAAGAGATTAAGGTGCTCCACTGGGGGCAGAGGTCCTCAGAGTGACACCTCCAGGTGTGTGACACTCCTTTGACACCATCTGAGACCAGGCACATGCCCAGCCTTGTGCCACCTTGGCATCTGCTCTCTGCCCCACCCCTTCCCTCTCGCCCAGGGAGGGTAGCGGCCTGTCTGTAAACAGAGTGGGCAGCGGCAGGAATTGAGGCCCTCTCTGGGCTCTGGACCAGGCCATCGGGTGCTGCTCCCACAGCTCTCCTCTGCCTGGGACCAAGGGCAAAGCCCCCGGGATCTGCACCAAAACCTGGTCCTCAATGGCCACCACTGCACTGGCAGAAAATGACTTGGTTAGCTCCACACCTAGGACCCCGGGCACGAGCCTTTGCCAGATGCTTTCCTTTCCAGCGGCCAGCAGTCAGAGAAATGGCTTCCCAGTGGCCAGTCAGGGTGGAAAGAGATGTGGGAGGCGGCCCCCGGCTCTGTCCCCAGAGACGCCCCAAGGCAGGTGCAATGCAAACCCAGGGGCTCTGATGAGTAGCAGTCAGATCTGGCTCTGCCCCCAAATCAGCCATGAATAAGCCTCCGTGGCCATGGGACAACCTCTGCCCCTCTCTGAGCCCCATTTTCTGGCCACAAAGTCCTGAGCAGCTCTACTGGGCCACCTGGGAGGGGCCTGGCTCTCCGGGGGAGCAGGACAGCTGCTGGGAAAGCCAGCACCCAAGGGGGACAGCTCATGGTGCAGGAAGCTGGCACACGGGGCGCTGGGCATGGGGGGAGGGATGGGGCATCGCCGAGAAGACAGACACAGCAAAGGGCGCAGGAATAGGCCATACAGGAGCTGAAATGAGACCCTGCAGGAGGTGCAGAGCACCCAGCAGCTGGGAAGGCCCGCGGGTGCCCGCCCGGGGCAGAACCACATCCCCTTGATTACTGAAGCACTAGCTCTGATTCTTGCTTTAATCTCAGGATAGCCCTCCGACATAACGAGTCTTGTCTTAACAAAGTAGGAAACAGAGGCCTAGAGATCTGCCCAGGGTCATGCACCTGGCCAGACCAAGCTAGGATGCCCTGCCCATGTCCTGGCTCCAAGCTAGCTGAGCTGCCCCCTAGGAAGCCTGCAGGCAGGGAGGGAGGAGGGAGAGAGGGAGGGAGGGAGGGAGGGAGGGAGGGCAGGGATGGCTGGGATGGCGGTGGCCCTGCACTGCTCTGGCCATTGCCTACGATCCCACTGTGCTGCCCCTGGTGAGTGTGCTGGGGCAGAGGAGGCAGGTGAGTGGAGCCAGAGAAACAGAGATCCCAAAGGTGCCTCTGACCCAGAAGCCCAGGCCCCACTCCCAGACTGGCTGTGGGATCCCAAGGACAGTCAAGGCCTGCCACGGATGCTGCGGGGCCTGTCCCACCTCCCCCAAGTTCCTGGGCAGGAGACCTTCCACTGACCTTCCCTCCCAGGAGCCAGACCACTCTGACCAGTCATCTGTCCAGTTGAACCATTCAGGAAAGCAGGGGGCTCCCAGAATGGGGACTCCCCTTGCTCTGCCCTCCTGCCGGCTCCAGAAGGGTGTGAGAGGGTGTGAGAGCGGTCTGGCTCTGTCACCCCCTCCACGGTGCTGCCCCCCTTCCCTCTAGAGGCCAGGAAGGAGGGGCTGCTTTTCTTTCCTTTTTTTTGAGTTCATTTTTAATAATTGGCTCAAATTACAAAGGTCCCCAAGGAACCCTGGGGGAGGGAGAGAAACCGGGAACGGCAGACATTCACTGCCAGCACCCGCCGACCCCACCTGCCACCCCTTCCCCAACAAGTACATGGGGAAGAAGGTCCCAGACCCTTTAAATAATCCTAAAAAAGCATGACGAGAGAGCAGGCAGATGAAGGGGCTCCTGCACCTGAACGTAGGTGACCAGGCCGCCCTGACCTCCGTCCTGCTCGCGGCCCTGGTGCTCTCCCACCAGGTCTGCCCCTCCCATTCCAGATCCTGCCCCGGGCCAGGCAGGGCATCTTGCATCTAGTCCTGGAGGCATGGCCAGTCACTGCGTAAACATCAGCAGAGCAGACCCCACTGGCTTCGGCGGCAGAGCCCTGGCACCCGGGTGCCTGACTGCACAACTTGCTCACGGCCATGGCTCCCAGGCACAGCAAAGCATGGAGGTCAGTGAAGGCCAGGGGCCGAGGGGTTGCACCAAGAGGAAACGTCTTCCTTCCTTGTGCTTGAGGCCAGGTCCTCTGTGGGTGCCGGGAAGCCCCGCTGGCCCCCTTTCTGGCTCTGAAGGCTGTGGTGACAGGACCCTGCCCTGCAGGGTGCTGAGGGGGCACAGTTACGCCCGGGCCCCCAGCTCTCCGACACGCTGTCGCAGGTGAAAGGCAAATTCAAACATGGTGGCCGCGAGGCTCTGATGGATGAGGTACCGGGGCAGGCGGCCCTGCGGGAAGGTGGGAAGAAGTTTTGGGAAGGCCTGCCCTCAGCCAGCAGGGGTGGGGGGAGGGGGCTCCCCTGGGTCAGAGCTGCAGGTGCAGGTGCAGCTCTGGAAGGCAGCCTGACCACCCCCCCGCCTCCCCCGGCAGGAAGAACACACTGTGCCGGCTCCTGGCTCTGGCCACACAAACAGACCCAGGAGGGGCCGGCCTGGCAGCCAGCCACCGCTCTGCGGGGCCCGGAGAAGTGAGGGCATGTACAGGCCCTCCAGCAACTTGGGAGAGCATCTTGACCTGGCCCCCAATTTGAGCATAAGAGAGGAGGCAGAGTAGGTGAGGTCCTGAGTGTGACAGGTGACCACCCCCAAGATCCCCCAGCAGAGTCCCAGCACCCCCACCTTGAGATCTGTATTAAGGATCCAGATGAAGGTGCAGACTCGGGGGTTACTGGCTGACTTGAGCACGATGAAGCCCCCAGGACCATTCTCTCCCCTACGAGAAAAGCACAATTAGGGGGGCACCCTGGAGCCAGGAAAGGACTCCGACATGACCCCATACCCCATTCCTGGCCCATCCTGGACTGGGATGAAAAATGTAAGGGAGCTACTGGTCTAGCTAGTCACTGCCACTGCCTGAGTAGGGCCCAGAACAGGTATCCCGGAGGCCACAGGATACAGTCCTCCACCCGCACCTTGTGAGGCCCAGCTCCCCCTTCTAATAGCCTGCGGATGTCTGCGCACCCCTGGTGGCAGCTGTGTCATCCTCTCTGTGCAGGTCCGCTATGGCAGGGAGGGGTGGGCCATGCGTGCATTTGCGCGCATTTCTCAAATCGGTTCGCATTACAGTGCTGGGGGGATCCAGAAGGGGGCGCCTTCCCAGGAGGAGGGCAGGGCACAACCCGTCACCAGGCAGTTCCCCCACAGCCCCATTGAGCACGCTCAAGCCCACTCTGCAGAAAGAGGCCCGCCGGTCACCCATGGGTCTGGTGTGTCAAATCTCATATTCATCGCCCAGTGCTCTCTGTGGAACCCCAAGAAGGACGGGGAGAGCAGGAAATCGGGAAGGAGGTCGGCTGCAGCACTGGGGTCTAGGGTGACAGCTGGAGATCTGGAGGATGCCCCGAGACATGGGACAGGAAGACTGAAATGCCTCTTCCTCCGTGAGGACTTCTGAGCAGTCGGGGGTGGGGGGCGGGGAGGCAAGGCAGCAGCAGGGAGGTAAAGCTCCAGGACACAGAGCCTTCCGCTCAGATCGCCTGGACCAGCGCCACCTCGTGGCTCCCAGCCCCCTTTTCTGGACTGCTCCCTGGCCTTGGGCTGTCCCTGGAGCCACGCTGAAGGCCATGTGGTTCCAGCCCTTAATCCCCCAGTCTCCAGGAGGCAGAGCAGATTAGCGGGCCTAGGGGCTGGGAGGGGCAGAGCCCAGCAGGACAGGGGGCTGGAAGGCGTCCTTGGCAGGACAAAGTGCCCAAAGGTCCACATTGTCCCCTACCCTGCCCTCAAAGCCACCAGGGGACGGGCCAGCCGGGATGGCTCACCTGACATATTTGTGTGTAGGGGGCCTGGTGCAGTGGGTGGTGGCAATGCCCGAGGACAGGTAGCGGTCTCTGCGTCGCTCAATGCGCCGCACGTTCACGAAGTCCCTGGGGGCGGGAGGGTTAGACAGGAGGGGAGCCAGTCCCAGGATGCAAGGGCAGGAGTCCTGCCTGAGAGGAGGGGCTTGGTGGGGCTCACCTGGGGGAGACCACCCCGCCCGCGGCCCCCGAAGAGACATCGTAGGAGATGAGAGTGTTGTCCTCTACTCGCTGCAGGATCTAAAGGCCATCAGGGGAGATGTGAGGTACAGCCCAGCCCAGGAACACCCCAAGCACAGGGTCCCAGCACCTCAGGGAACCCCCAGCCCAGCCTCCTCTCTGCCCAGGTCCCTTTACTAACAGCCACTCCCAGGTCCTGGGCTGGGCTCTGTCTGCGTGCTTCCTCTCCAGGAGGCACCATTACCATCATCCCATTTTACAGACAGGGAAGCTGAGGCACAGGACAGTTCGAGGACATGGTCATGCTGGGGGATGACTGTACCTGCCCTGCCGTGTCGCTCTGCCCTGAGGGGTGGCCAGGCTGGGCCCCCAATTGGCTCACCTGGCAGGCGGTCACGGTCTTGTTCCATAGCACCATCCTCTCGGGCTGCAGGATCACCTCCTGGTACACCAGCTCAGCAGGGCAGGGCAGGAAGGTCTGGGACAGGGCGGGCAGAGAGCTGGGTGGGGCCAGATGTGCTTGGGCACAGCAGCCCTTCCCTCTTGGTGGGGAGAAACCTGCCGGAAGGCCTCTCAGCCCCCTGCTGAAACCTCAGACAGTCCAGGAGCCTCCAGGACCCCTGCTTCCCTCCCTCACCTTCAGGATGAAGGTCTTGCCGTGAAAGGGAATCTCGATGGTGTACACAGTGTCTCCATATTCCTACAGTAGAGACAGAAGGGGGACAGGGAGGTGGGTGGAGGGCAGGCGGAGTGGGCCAGTGGTGGAGGGATGGGTGCCCCAACAGGGCAGCTTTGTAACAGCTCAGGGTGGAAAACTCCAGGAATTCAGCGATATTCAGGCAGCCGGTAAAAAAACAGTGGTTCTGACAAACATCCAGCAACAAGGAGAGAAAGGCTTTTGCTGTCACATTCAAGGACAGAAGCACAGCTGCAGTCACAACTGCGATGACCCATGTCTCCAGGCCGTCCTGGGCCGCCAGAGGGAATGGCCACACACAGGGACAGGGACGTGTCCCCTGTTCTCCAAGCTCACAGCCATCTCTTTAGAGAATGTGGTTCTGCTCATGAAACAGGACACCCAGACCACGGCCAAAGCCTGGCTTCCCCTTCGAAGCCAGAGCTGAGTGAGGAGAGCAGTAGGGGCCATGGATGGGCGCGGGCAGGGCAGCAGTCGGAGGGCGCAGTGGAAACATCCAGTCTGGCCCCACCTCCTGCTAAGCAGCAACCCCGGGGGGCCCAGCCCCCTCTCCTGGCACAGGAATAGGGTTCCAATGTGGGCCATCCCTGGGCTTCTCGGGCCTCAGAAAAGCAAGCAAAAACTCTCAACACACATGGGCAGGTCAGATGGGAGAGAGTTTCCTTACATTGTTCTTCTCAAACTTCCAGTTCTCCTCCTGAGCCAAGATCTGGTCCACCACCGCCATGGCCTCCTTCCCCTGATGGATGTACTCCCGTTCCTGGCCCAGGAGGAGAGGCAGGAAGGGATCACCCTGGAGCTTGCCCACCACCTGCTTTGTGGCCAGTTCCTTCTCCACATACTCCATACCCACAGAGTCTGGGTTGGTCTCTCGGGCCCCATGGGGGCCCCAGGTGCTGTGGCTGAACCGCTCCCCTCTGGGCCCCAGGTGTGAGCCGGCCCAGCGGGCCTGACTGACGGTGGGGCAGACACTCAGGGGCACGCTGACTGGCACTCGGGCTGCCTGAGGGCCACCCTCTTCGGGGAAGCCCCTTCCCCCTTCGGCTTGAGCCCAGCACTGGCACCTTCTCCAGGGGGGGTTGCCCCTCCAAAGATCGGGTGGGGGCGGGGAGCCAAATACCTGGGCAGAGAAGCTTCTCTTCCCAATGTCTTCATCAGATTCGTTGTCAGACCCTTTGGAAAACAAGCACAGATGACAACAGGAGGGTGTGGGGACAGACTGGGAGGAGGTGGTGGGGTACAAGACTGCGGGGGGACAGACAGGGAGAGGGGTGCTCGCCTTCCCCAGGGACCGGAGAGAAGGGACAGAATGAACAGACCCAGCCAACCCGCTCCTGATGAAGCCCCTCGCTGAAGGAGTTTCCCACCCACCGGCCTCACCTGCAAAGGATTCTGGGGGTGAATAGAACTGGCCCTCGGACAGAGCGCCAGGGAAGAGCAGGGGTCCACGGGCGACAGCAGCCTGGGCAGCAAGGTACCCTGGGGGAGCAGACACAGGCAGCCATTGTCCCAGAACAAGGGCAGCCATGCCTCAGCAGCCTGGGGTCCCCCCACTCCAAGCTCACCCTCAGGCTCCGGGAGGCTGTTCAGGGTTGCCAAGATAGCTCCGAACTGGCTCTCATGCCCGAAACTCTCCGCTCTTGGGGCTGCGATGACCCTCCCTGCACCCCTTCCCCAGGACTCACATCGTTCCTCCTCGGCCTCCTGTGGCAGGACTTTGAAGTCAAGGAACCAGGTCTCCAGCCAGGCAAGGACAAAGGAGACGATAGGGAGCAGGTAGCCGAATGCCCCTTTGCTGAGCAGCTGTGGAGGGAGGGGGCTGAGCTCCACAGCCGAGGGTCACCCGAATGCAGAGTCCTCTCTTGGGGCTACCCACTGTGGCACACACCCCACTCCTGGGCCCAGCTGCTTGGGGACCCCGTGTGGCACGTGCCTCTGAGGTGGCTTAATGAATTGTGCAGCAGGATAAACTGAGGATAGGCTGGCAGAGGAACTTTCTGTTCTTGGGGTTACAGAGGGACAGGTGGAGGAAGCCGGTGGAGATGCTCCCTTGGAAATATCAAGGACAGGAACCCCTCACCCCAACCTGACAACAGGGACAGAGGCCCCAAATTGGAGAACGGGTCCCCTCTTGGGAGAAGCCCATCCCTCCCTCCGGTGAGAGGCCCACCAGACACCAGCCTGACCGTGAGCCACTGACCTCGGAGAGGATGACCTTGACGATGAGGAACGCGCTGGACACCAGCGTCGTGACCTGCCCAGGGGAGGGAAGGAGGGAGAGAGGGAAAGCGAGCTGGGGAGTGAGTCCTCTGCCACGCTGCCCCTCGCACCAGCCCTGCCAGGGCCCGCACGCTCCCAGGAGAGGGCCATCTTACCGCAATCACCCACCAGTGCCGAAGCCGCAGCACCGCGTAGCCCAGGAGCAGTCCCGAGAAGCGGAAGAATGCCAAGACCTGGTGGGGAGGCAGGCAGGGGACACACAAGCCATCACGGGGTTAGCCAATGCCCCCTGCTCCTGCTGAAGGTTGACCTCCCCGTCCTGTCCTGCTCCCCCAGGTTCCCTCTACGTGGGGTGTGATGCCTCAGGAGAGAAGGACCGAGTCAGTGTTTCTTGGGGGATGACTCGGATGTGACCTTCTTGGACAGGGGTCTACTCTTCTCCCTCACCCTTGGGGCTCTCTGAAGGGAGGGCCTTATCTAGGAAGAGCTCCCTGAGGGTGGGAGCCAAGTGTCCCCGATCAGACTAGGATGTGTGCTGCAGGAACAAGAGAATCCAGTCAGAGGCGCATCCCTGCACCTCCGCTGCCCCCGACGACCCCCTCCCTAAGTCCACTCACGAAGATGTCAAAGAAGGAAGTTTTAAAGTTGTAGTGGATGATCTCCTGCTCCAGGTTCTTCCGGATGCCTGTGTTGGTCTGGAAGAGGGAGATACGAGCAGCTCTGTAGGCAGAACCAAGTCCCCAGGGGTGCCTCACCTCTGGGAACGGCGAGCAAGCAGGGGGAGTGACAAGCCGCTGCCCAAGGAGGGCCCCGAAGCACCAAGGGAGGATCTGAGACCCCAGCACTAATCTTGTTTCTCCAAGCACCTGGGCAACCCGGACGGGCAGGGCCTGGCTCCAGCATGGACACCTATGGGCACGCTGCCCAGGGACGGGGAGGCATGGGGGGCCTCGGGGCTGTGCAGGGGAGGCAACAGTCCCCGTGCAAGCAGGTAGGGCTGGCTGACTGGGTGCTGGGAGCCTGCCTCTCATATAATCTCATCTCCCCCTCTCCACTAGGGTGCTTCATCTTCCCAGCCAACTGTCCATCTGGGGTGATGGGGACCGGGGGTGGGCAGTGGTGTCAGACGGAGCCCCAGGTGGCAAATCAATTGATTAGGTTTGTGCTTAATGGGCAAAATCCATCAGGCTGCTAGAAGGAACAGCTAGAAACAGATAGCGAGCAGACTCGTCCCTGCCCCAGCCACCCATATATTTTCCATGGGATTCGACACCTTGGCTGAGGAGGGAGAGGATCTGGACAGATACCGAGAGCCAGGCTGCTGCCTGATTTCTCAGGAGGGATGGGGCGGCAGGCCTCGGCTTCCGCCAGCCCCCTGCAGAAGGGAGGAAACAAGAGGACTCTGGAAAATGGATCCCAGGAGCCTGCAAAGTGAAGACCCTTCATGACCACCTAGACGAGAGTTTCTAATCCCCTAGCAGGTGACCCAAACTGAGGTGTGCAGGGGGTGCTTACTGACATCTAGATGTTCCGAACCCTGAGCCTGAATCCCAGAGCGAGCTGAGCATCTGGAATCTTTGTGAAGCTCCTAGGTGACTGCAGTGCTTAGAGCAGAAGCCAGTAGCCCAGGCAGCCCCCTCGTTGACACATGAACACCGCTGAACATCCCCACTATGCCTCTTGACCTCAAGACCCCCCTGAGCCCCGTGGAGGCTCACATGCCAACCCCACACTGACATCCTCCCACCCCAGCCTGGCCCTCCTCTTGAGCTCCACAGCTCCTCCGAGCCCTAAGAGCTGCGGCCCCTCAGAGGTCTCCCCCTGCCTGGGCACGTGCAGGTGCTGATGGCAATGGTGTCCTGGCTCAGGGGAGCCAAGCACTGGCCCCTGCCAGTCTCTAGCCGTAAGACCCTTCTGGGGCCCTTGTAGCCACTGGGCAACGCCCAGCCTGTTCAAGAACTAAAAACATACATGCTCCAAAACATGAAAATAAAGCCACAAAACCAAAAATTAATCACATTTTAATTGAATGTCTATCAAGTGAAACATGATGGCTAACTCCACGAACGGCTAAGCCCAGCATTCTGAACTTTTCATTACATCTGAAAACAATTTGGAGATCAGACTTCTCGATTTGCAAGAATTCCCAAGAATGCACGAGGACTGCTGAGCAATTCTATCCAGTACATCCAGATAATTTCAAAAGTAAAATTATCAAAATTTTTTCAGCTGTCTGCTGGCAAGAAAATATATACCGAATGAGAGCTGTGGGTGACTTTTAGTGCTTGCTTTGATGCTGGCTGGGACCTTCAAAAGGAAGAATGCCTCCCGGGGCGCCGGAGAGGTGCAGTCGGTTGAGCATCTGACTCTTGGTTTCGGCTGGGGTCGTGCTCTCAGGGTTGTGGGATGGAGCCCCACGCTGGGCTCCACATGCAGGGTGGACTCTGCTTGAGATTCTCTCTGCCCCTCCCCCAGGTCTCTGTGTGTGTCTCTCTCCAATAAATAAATAAATAAATCTTTAAAAAAAAAATGTTAAAAAGGAAGAATGCCTAAGACATCAGAAGCTCTCCAAATGGCCCTGGACCTTATGGGGCCGCAGCTTTCTCACTGGTAAAGAGGGTCCGCAGAGTCTCCCATGGCTCAATCTTTTTTTTTTTTTTTTAAGATTTTATTTATTTATTTGTCAGAGACAGAGGGAGAGAGAGTGAGCGAGCACAGGCAGACAGAGAGGCAGGCAGAGGCAGAGGGAGAAGCAGGCTCCCCGCCGAGCAAGGAGCCCGATGTGGGACTCGATCCCAGGACGCTGGGATCATGACCTGAGCCGAAGGCAGCTGCTTAACCAACTGAGCCACCCAGGTGTCCCCCCATGGCTCAATCTTGTTGAAGGTGCCAGTTCACCTATGTGCTCAAAGGACAATCACCCCCAGAGCCCTCTACCTGAACACTTGTCACACCTCAAACTTGTCCTCTTCACCCTTAAACCAGCCCCTCCCCGAACTCCTCACTTCCATCAACAAACTCGTTTTCCTATCATCAGAGCTTGAGACCTGGAGGAAGGGCACTCTGACCCGCTCCGCAGAAGGAAAACAAGGGAAGGCTCAGAGAAGCCGAGTCCCTCATTGACATGCCACAGTGAATACAGAGGAGACGCTGAGACCCACGGAGCCTGGGAGCTTTGTTCTCACAGCTCCTGCCTCTGTGGTCGGGTCCTGCCCGGGGCCGTCAGCGCCTGGAGGCCAGGTGCCATGGCCCACTGGCCTGGCACCACGCGCCAGGGAGGAGGGTATCGACCCAGCACTGAGAGGCGGCCCCACCTCCAGGCCGCTGAGCCCAAACTGGGGACACTGGAGTTGTGTCCAAAACGGGGAGAGGGAGCTAGGAACCACCAGGAACTGGGAGTTTTTACTGGCTGGCCCTGCACCGTGCCCTCTGCGTTTAGCACAGCGCTCTGGATGCGTCAGGGCTTTGAAAACTGCTGAGTGGATGGATGAAGGAATAACTGAATGGAGCCAGAGAGCAACAGAAGCCAAAAAGAAGACAAAGGTTTCAACCGCACAACCACCGTCCACGGGGCTCTCTCCGCCCTCCTCACGAGCGTCCACTAGAGGGCAGTCTGGCGCAGAGGTCAAGGGTGTGAACCCTGCAGCCTGAGGGTCCGGGTTCAAACTCTACCCTTCTTCACCCACTTGCTGAGGGACCTTCGACAATGACTCCAGCCCTCGGAGCTCCCTTTTCTTTGGAAGATGAGAACGGGTGTTCCTGTCTTCCCACTCTTCATTTTACCGGGAAATCTAACCCCCGCCAGAGACCATCCTCCCGTGTGGCAGCTACAGCTGGAAGAAGGCCCAGGTGACACCCCAGCCCCCGGCGCAGTCTGGGGTCCACTCACGTTCAGCTCGATGATCCAGAGCAAGGAGATGAAGAGCAGGTCGAAGGTGACAAAGAGACAGAAGGTGCGGCGGACATCAGAGATGGCGCGGCGCTTCTCTGGAGGGGGCGGGAGGAAGTGCGAGGAGAGAGCCTGGCTGTGGGACAGCGACGAGCCGAGGGAGGCCACGGCGGGCAGGCTGCGCTCCAAGTCGCGGGCCAGATCCCCAGACAGTTTGTTCATCCTGATGGGCCCCCCCCCCCCGGGGGGGGGGGGGGGAAGGCGGGGCCTCAGCTGCAAGGCTGCAGGGAGGCGGGTGGCTGGGTTAGGTGGCCTGGTGAGGGCCTAGAGGTCTTGTTAGTTAACCTCCTTCCCTCCGCAACCCCCTCCATGCCATTTGCTCCCAAACGCATTTGCCCCCTCTAACATCCCAACCCCAAGGTGGCCCAGGGCCCTATAAGCCCAAATTGTCCCCAGCAGCCCCACTTCTGAGCTGGAAGGGGTTGAGCACCCCTCTCTCTCTCATTCCTCCTCACCAACTCCTGCCCCGCAAAGCCCGGCAACCCACAGTTCACCCTTGGAGGGCTCTGGGGTCCTCCCTGCTGCTTGAGGGCACAGCCTGCTCCTGCCAGGCCTGCTGGAGGTTGAGCCTCTGGTCCTGTCAACAGCCTCTCGGGCCTGCCCCCACCCCCCCAGGAGAAGAGGGCCCCAAGCTCTGTTCTTTGTTTGCCAAGCACAAAGCCACATTCCCTCCCAGCAGCCAGCCCTACCCTCCCACCCCCTAATCCATGGCAACTGGGAGGGACTTCCTAGAGCAGCGTCTCTGAGTGCTCTGTGCCGGGACAGCCATATGAAGGAAGGACATCTTGGTCCCTTCTCTCCAGCTTCACCCCCACTGCCCCCATGTCAGGCCCACTACTATCCTCTCCCCTGGTGTGACAACCAGCCCTCGGGGTGAGTCCGCCTCTCTCACCCTGCGACAACTCTTCTGGCAACAGGCAGAGGAAGGTCTGCCAAACACTGATCACAGCCCGCCTTCCAGAGCCCTCCGGCCCAGGCCCTGCCGCAGCGGCCCCACCCACTCTTCCAGAAGCTCCTCTTACAAGGCAGATACAGCTCACGACCACCCCACCGACCACCCCACTGCCACCCTGGCCTTCTTTTCGGTCCCTCAGTGTGGCCGCCAGGTCCTGCCTCGGGGCCTTGTACCTAGCTCTCCCCTCCCCAGTCCTTCCAACAAGCAGCTCCAAAGTCCTCTCCTTTGGGCGCCTGGGGGGCTTGGTCGTTGGGCGTCTGCCTTCCGCTCGGGTCACTGATTGGGGGTCCTGGAATCGAGCCCCGCATTGGGCTCCTTGCTTGGCAGGAACCCTGCCTCTCCCTCTCCCATGCCCTGTTTGTGTTCCCTCTCTCCGTCTCTGTCAAATAAATACAATTCTTAAAAAAAAAAAAAAAAAAAAAAGTCTTCTCCTCCTCAGAACCGCCCCACACCCACCCCCCAGGGACAGCAGTCTTGCTCTATGACAGGGACACCGAGCCTGTCACGATCTGCCAGCGTCTTAGTCCTTGTTCTGCCAACTCTCCGGGTGCAGGGCTTCCCCCGGCCGGGTCACTGCTGTCTCCCAGCACCTAGCACAGGGCCCTGCACCCAGGAAGGCTGCACGACTGCCTGCTGGCGGCTACTGCAGTGGGTGTCCTGGTCCTCAGCTCCATGCCACGCTGCCGAGACATGGGTAGAACCTCAACAGAGAACCAGCCGCGGCCCGAGGCGAGGCCCGAGCCCCACTGCCCACAGAACCCTGTGCCCACAGTTGTGCTTCAGGCCCATGCAGGCCAGGACGGGGCCTTCTAGTTCACAGAGCAGGCAGCCAAGACTGAAGGGGCAACGGCCCGAACTACCCCTTGCCTGTGCAACCATGGGCCGAAACTCTTATGAACACTAGGGCAGGGGCCTGGAGGACTCCCTGCTGGCCGCACAGTCCCCAGACCCAAGGTCTCTGCTCCACCCATGTGCTAGCAAAGAGCCCACAGCGGCCCTGTCCCCGGGGCTCAGCCCAGAGCCAGAGGAAGCCGCCTCAGTGTGGTGGTGCCCATGCTTCTGGGGCTCGGTCAGAGTCTCCCTGAATCTTCTCTCATGCCAGAGAGCCAGGCTTGGGGGCTGATGGGAGGGGAACCCTGGATGTCGGACTCTGGTCCTGGGAAGGCAAGACCTAACCAGTGCCCCCCGACCCCGATCTGCTATCCCCTCATACCTTTGTCATGTCTACTACCTTCTGGGGCCCCTCAATCTATCAGGTCCCGAGCAAGCTCCCCATCTGTGACTGGCAGGGGATTCTGAGCAAGCCAGTGTGTCTACCCCTCTGCCTCCGTGCAAGCCCCAGTGGACAGGAGTGGGCTGTTCTCAGCAGAGGCAGCCGCACCAGGCCACCCCCCAATAGCACACTCTTGGGGTTGCCATGCCCGGCTCATCTGGAGGACACTGAAGGAAAGCCGGGCCCAGCTCTGGAAGGAGGCAGTCAGAGAGGAGATGTGACAGGCTGCCGGCAATGGGATGCCCCAACATCCGTCAGCTGGACCTGGTGGCAGACAGAACGCGCAGCGCATCGCTCACTGTGAAAGGGCCATGGCTCCAGGGTGGGTGACATTTCCGTGTCTTTAATGGCCCTCTTGTCTGCTGCCAGACCTGTTTCCATTTCTCTTCCTCCTTCCTGTCTCTCTCCCAAACCGCCTTTCTTTGTGTCTCTGTATCCCGCTCCCGTGACCATCTTTATGGGTCTTCCTCCCCAAGTCTATCCCATCTGTGAGTCTGTCTGCATTACCATCAGCTCAGTCTCACGCTCCCTTCCTCCGTGTGTGTGTGTGTGTGCGTGTGCGCCTTCCTCCGTGTGTGTGTGTGCGTGTGTGCGCACGTGTGCGTGTGTGTCATCTTCCTTATCCACTCCTCTCCCTCTTCTCGATCTCACTGCAGGGTGCTGTGGCTTCTCTCCTCCCAGGCTGCTCCCAAGTCTGTCTGGCGTTGTCCCCAGCTTCCTTCCTTCCTCCCTCCCTCCCTCCCCGGGGACAGGACTCGGGTGGCAGCAGACTGGTGTGAGACCCACCCCCCTCCTCTGGGAGCGGCAGCAGCACTGACACTCACACATGCAGACGTCCTCGGTGAAGCGAGAGACGCAGATGAGGGCTGAGAGCAAAGGTGCTGGGGGAATCCGGGAGAGCTGCAGACGCAGGGGTGTGTGGAAGCCAGGCAGGGCTGGGGACAGCAGGTCAAGAGGCGGGGGGGGCGGGGGGCTCTACATCACCCTCCACCATGAAAGCTGCTCAGAAACCAAAGAACACATAAAGTAGAAGGAGTACTGGTCAGGGATGAAGACCTGAGCGCCAGTCCTGGGGAAGCCACTAACCCTGAGTAACCAGGCAAGTCCTCACCAAGGCCCTGCTTCTTTATCTGGGGGGAGAAGTGCTTTTCCAAACCCCTTTCTTCAAGCAAGAGAAACTTAGAGAAAGAGAGAGAGAGGAAAAGAAAGAAAGAGAAAAAGAAAAGAAGAAAAAGGGAAAGGAAAGGAAAAGGAAAAGGAAAAAGGAAAAGAAAACCTTACTTAGAATCTAAAATAGAAAAAAGATAAAAATGGGACTGCTCTGGGTCTTGCCACAGAAGGTGGCCACAGACAGTCCCCCTGGGCAGACATTCCTCAAACCCCAGGGTTACCCCAGGGGCACTTCCTTAGGCCCAGTTTGAAAACTGCCCACTCAGATGACTTCAAAAGCTCTCTGGGCTCCATCAGGCCACCTGCCAGTCTAAGAGGCGGAAATCATCTCGGCCTGGAACTCCTCTGAGTGGTCCCCAAAGCACTTGTGCTCTGGTCCCCTGGCCCTGGGGGTGGAAGGTGTCAGCTGCCTCCGCCCCACCATGCCCACCATCCTGCTGAGAGGGAGGCAGGAATGAGTGCTGTGGGTGGGAGAAAGCAGGGCTGCCACCAGGGACCCCCGGAAGCAGCTCCCCCTGCCCTGCCCAAGCCCCTGACCAGGCGTCAGGAGCAGAACAGCACGCGTGGGGTGAAGGAGTCGGCCCTGGGGTTAGCTGCAGACTTGACACTCACTGGACCTGTGTTTTAGGAGAAGCTTAGCTGCACTGGCTTGGGGAAGGGGATGAGGAAATTGGAGGTTTTATCATCCCAGGTTGCAAGGGAAAGAGGGGTGAGGAGGAGGGGGCAATCCACCCCAGATTACTCCAGTTCTTTCAGTTCCTGAGGCAAAGAGGAGGGGCAGGCACAGGCCCCCAGGGCCTGCCAGGCTTTCTCTTACCCCAGGAAATGCCACTGTTGGCCAGACTGCAAGAGGAGCTTTCGGGTAGGGTCCGAGACTCAGGGCAGACAACAGTAGGCAGCTGACACTGTTGAAAGAGAGCTGGACTCCGAGGTTAGGGTTCAAGTCTCAGTCTGCCCTTACGAGCTGGGCATTCTGGAGCAAACACAACCATTCTGAGACTCAGTTTCCTCCGATACATTAAATAAAGGCAACACTAATATAGTTAATGCCTTTGAACCATGCCCTTAAAAATGGTTAAAACGTGGGGCGCTTGGGTGGCTTCAGTGGGTTAAGGGTCTGCCTTCAGCTCAGGTCAGGATCCCAGGATCCTGGGATCAAGTCACACATCAGGGCCCCTGCTCAGCGGGGAGTCTGCTTCTCCCTTGGCCTGCTGCCCATCCCCCCTTGCTTGTGCTCTCTCACTCACTCACTCTCTCAAATAAAAAAAATCTTTAAAAAAAGAAAGAAAAGAAAAAAGAATGGCCCAAGTCATTCCAGCTCCAGGCACAGGTGAATTCCCAGGGTGCAGGCGGTGGCAGGAAGCGGGGGCTGTCCTGGCTCCCCACACAGGCTCTAAGGGGCAGTGCCAGGGCCGACCGCCAACACTACAGCTTCCCACTGGTGCCCGGCCCCGCTGCAGGCACCCCCCGTTCCCCATTTCCACAGCTCTTAGGGGACAAGGGCACAGATGGGGTCCTTGCCAGCTCTCAGTCACAGCCCAGACCAGAAGCTCCAGCCACCTCTGCCGCTCAACACCCGGAAGGCCTGTAGCTCCCAGCGGGGGTTCCCCGGCCGAAGCAAATCTACAATTTAACAGTGCCACGTACTCACTGTACCAGCCTCAGAGGCTATACAGGACACTGGGGACACCTGTCTTGACCCCGCTATCTGGGGCATCAAAGGACACAGCGATGCATGTGAAGTGCCTGGAACAGTGCCTGGAACCACAGAGTAAAGGCTCAGCAGATGTTAGCCCCTGATGCCACAGTCCCCTCCGAGGCCCCTGCCCTTTAACACGCCCCAACCTCCAACAGAGAACCAGCCAAACTGTCCCAGGTCCAGCTAGAGCTTCCTCTGCAAAGCTAAGCTACCCTGGTCTCCCGGTATGGGAACCAAGCCTCATTGTAGCCAGAAATGACCCACATCTCTGAGACGTGTGGCTTCTCCAAACCTTCTCTTGAGGCCGACGGGACAGTGGACACAGGCTCTCAACATCTCCCTCACTCCGTACTCCTCAGCAAATGTGAGCACTAGCCTCACACTGGCCATGGAGGCTTCCCAGTGGGGTCCCTATCTCTGTACAAACCAGGAGCAATCAGTGAAGCTGAGAAAGAACTAGAGGCCAAGCCCGGAGAAGTTTCAAACCCTGGATTCCTGCTTTACTACGGCTGAACCTCTCTGTGCCTCATTTCTCTGCTCTGTAAAGTGAGGATAACAGTGGCACCTGTTTCCTACAGGTGCTGTAAGGATTAAACGGCTTATTAAATGCACTGGCCTAGAACAGTCCCTGACACAGAGTGATCACCGCCTAAGGACCAGCCAGGATGACACCCCTGTCTCTTCTTTAGAGGAAGACATAGTCTTGAGCTCTGACTGCCTCAGTTGGATGGCTTCAGGCCAGGACTGGGGCTGTTCTGGGTCAAGTCACCCCTATAAGGCCCAGGTGAGTGGAGACTCCACAGATAGGCAGGAAGCCAAGGCTCTGGAAGATGGTGGCCCCTGCCTGTGTCCTGCCACTGGTCAGTCACCAGTCAGGGAGCTGGTTCAGGGAGGACAGGACAGCAGATCAAACAGGACTACAGGGCAGCTGGGTGGCTCAGTCTGTTGAGCATCTGCCTTCTGCACAGGTGGTGATCCCATGGTCCTAGGATCGAGTCCTGCCTCCGGCTCCCTGCTCAGTGTGGCGTCTGCTTCTCCCTCACCATCTGCCTGTCACCCCCACCCCGGCTTATACTCTCTCTGTCAAATAAATAAAACATCTTTAAAAACAAAAACAAAACACAGGACTACAGGCCATCCTGAGGAGCTAGCACGGAAGAAACAAATTCGGCCTAGCAGCGGCCTACACTGGCCCCCTGCAGACACCTCTCCTTTACTCCTCACACCCCACCAGGAGCTGTGGAGGTGAGGGTGGGCTGGAGGAGACAGAAGGTTGGAGAGGTCTGCCCACAGTCCCCCGGGGCAGGATGGGGCAGAGCTGACCCCAGGCCTCTGCTGGCCCCGGAGGCCCTAAGGCTACCCGCCAAGAGCCTGTGGAGAGCCCAGCACCCCCCCCTCCACATCCAAACCATCAGCAAATCTTATTGGCTCTTCCTTCAAAATCCGGCCAGTGTATGTGCCCGCTGTCACCCTGTCCAAATCATCACCTCTTACCTGCTACACCTTCCTGACTACCTCCTTGCCTATATCCCAAGTCTCGTCTCAATACAGCAGCCAGAGGGATCCTGGTAAAAGTCAGACCACACTTCCCCAATGCTCCAAACCTCCAATGGCTTCCAGCTCACCCTGAGTAAAGGCCAAAGTCTCCATCCTGGCCTATAAGCCCGCTCTTCCCCAGCCTCTTCCCCTGGAGCCCTCTGATCCAGCTATACTGGTCCTTCTCTGTTCCTTGGACTTAACTAGCATGGCCATGCTCCCACCCCAGGACCCTTGCACCTGCTGTCCTATCTGTCTGAAGTTCTCCCCCAGGTCTCTGCAGCACTCCCTCCATTCTGGTCTCTGTACATGTCCCTTTGGAGAAGCCTTCCCTGAACTCCCTAATTAGCTTCATCCCCTTCATCCCACCCTTCATCCCCTTCCCTGCTTTATTTTTCACAGAGCTTACCACCCCAGATGTATTATATGTTTACAGGTCTGCGTTTACTACCTGTCTTCTTCTGGAATGCAAACTTCACATGAGCAGGAACTCCCCCTGCTTTGCTCCGTGCTGTGTGCTCAGCACCCAGAGAGGTACCAGGCTCTGGAAGATACTCAGGCAAAGTGTCAAGCAACTAGCCTGAGCACGGGTGTGCATGTACACAGCCCTGCCCAGGCCTGAAGGAGGAGCCCTCCTAGGCCAGACTGTCTCTCCGGGAGCTGGACTCCGCCCTCTGCTGGTGTCTCTCCTCAGGTAGAATCGAGGCCCCAGCAGGCCCGGGGAACTGGTTTCCTGGGCAACCTGAGGCATGGTGGATGCTCCCCTCCCTTTTCCTGGGCACCAATTTGCAGAGAGAAGATGACATAAGCTAAGTTCCTTGGATAGCGAAGGTCCAGAAGAAAGGAGGACATGCTCCCTGGGAGAGATCCCAGCGCTCCTCTCTGGCTGTGGGGGCAGAGGCTCCTCCCCTTCCCAATACTCTCCTGACCACTGGCTGCTTCCAGAACACACCATGGCTGGCAGTCTCCCTTCTGAGCCTCCACTTCCCTCCACTTTCACATTCTAGAATGACCTCCTTCCCCTGGGAGAGAACTCCAGTTCTTCAGAGACCAGTTTAAACCCCACTTCCTGGGCAAAGCTCTCCCTCACCATCCAAGGCTCCTTCGACCCCAGCTCTCAGGACTCTGGCTCAGCATTACTCTAGACTTGAGGTTCAAAGTCAAAGTCATCTTTCCTTGAACACTTTAGGCCTGAGTCACAGTGCTTGGCCATGGTACCTGTTCAGGAAGTTAACTGGTCTGTGGGTCTGTAATGTCCACCCTGGAACAGGGGAAAGGGCATAAGTTTGGGGACTGGGTATCAGACCTGGAGTCAAAAGCTGAAGACCATTCATGACTAGGCTGTGAGCCCTTGACTAAATCACTGAGTCTCTCTGAACCTCAGTCTCCTTATCTATAAAATGGGGATGGTATAGTGACCACTTCGCAGAGCTACTGAAAGGATTAGGAATAACACACACAGAATGTCTGTGCTTAATTAACGGTAGCTATGACTACTGTGAGGGGCTACAGATCTGGTGTTAGGGGCAGGGCCTGGGCCAGGCACGTGCAGCATAGACTCTACCCAAACAGGGCCCCATATGCACTGCTGGATGCAGAGATGGGCCCTGGCCTCAGAGAGCTGACCCCGGACAGCATACACCAGGCTCTATTATACTTCCGGGCTCTGTTGCCCGTGCCATCAGCCACGGGACAGAGCTGGCTTATTGGCCCCTACCCTGTCTCACTGACAGAGAATTTGGGAAGTTCCCTAGAGGATGACTTTAAGAAGCGGACACAAACCAGGCTCCATTTCTCCTTTCCTTCTGGAGAAGTGGAAAGGGGAAGAGTCAAGCCAAAACAGAAAGTACATTCATCGCTGTGCACTGCCCCCTCCGGCCAGGACGTTCTGAAAATACAGAAAAACCCTAACAGACCAAGGCTGAGTCAGGCGCCCTGCCTCCTCCACACACCAGGCCCCATTAAATGTCCAGGATGCCCTGGCTCTGTGCTGACAAGACCCCCGTCCTACTCAGGGGCTGGTGAGTCAGGCCCCACCCACCCTTAGTGCTACTGGATAAAACTTGGGAGCTAGCGAGGTCAAGTTCTCAAGGTCAGTCTGGAAAGGGCCAGTCATCTTCTGGGAGAGAGCTCAGTCAGGTCAGCTCATTCAAGGGAAGGCTCCACAGGCAGAAGGGAGTTCAGTACGGACCTCTGCCAGCACCAGCTCTGGCCAGACGGAAGCTAGGATCAGCCCCAGCCAGAAAAAGTTCACAAGGATACACAACTGGTCAGAGGGGATGCCCTGCTTGTCCCTTGTTTTACAGATGTGGCAGCCACCCCTGTGGGAGGGGTACCGAGGCAGTTTCTCAGCGACAGCTATGGACCTGGAGTCAAGAGACAGTTCTTGAAGGTCCTGTTGAGTGACACTGACCTTACTTCCCTTGAGTCCCAGCCTCCTCATCTGTAAAATGGAGCCAACAATCTCTACAACTCAAGGGAACAAGTATGAGCTGACAAATGTACAGGCTTTCTGGTCTCACCCATACCTCCCCCCCCCAACTCTAGGTGTGTGAGAGCTTGGTTTTTCGTTTTTTGTTTTTTTAAAGATTTTATTTATTTATTTGACAGAGATCACAAGCAGATAGAGAGGGAGGCAGAGAGAAAGCAAGGGAAGCAGGCACCTTACTGAACAGAGAGCCGGATTGGGGGGGGGGGGGCTCCATCCTAGGACCCTGGGATCATGACCTGAGCCAAAGGCAGAGGCTTTAACCCACTGAGCCACCCAAGCGCCCCAAGAGCTCAGTTTAACGCTGAGCCTGTGCTAGTCCCTGGGGCTATTCGGAGGCTCGGGGTCTGGTGAGGGAAGCGAACACATAAATAAAACAGTGTCTCACTGTAATCAGCACTTTCAGGGAGGAACAAACAACGGACCGTGGGCTCTCAGAGAAGGGACATCTGACCCAGGCTGCAGTGGGTGAGGTTGGGAAAGCCACAAAGAGGAGGAGCCCTCTGACCCAGGCCTTGAAGAATCCATATATATCAACCATAGGCAAGGAAGACGAGCATTTCAGGCAGGCAAACTAGCATGACCAAAGGCCCAGACTCTGGTCTAAAGCACAGGCCCAGCACATAAGCTTGCAGGCTGAACACCCCAGGGGCTCTGCCCCCAACACCAGGCGCCAGGCCTTCAGTCCCCTCCGGGCATGGTCCCCACAGGCTCCTAAACCAAGGGGACACTTCCTTATGGCCAAGCAAGGAAAGGAATTCCCAAACTCAGCAAAGGAGGCTGCCTCTGCCCTCCTGCCCACCTTAGCCCTCCCCCTGTAAGAGCTCTGTTCAGAGGACCCAGCTGCCCACTCTCTGAGTCCACCCTGGTCTCTACCTCTCTCTGGTAAGCTCATCCTCTTGTCCTAAGGTCCCTCACTAATTGTCAGCTGCTCTGGGAAGCCATTCTTGGCCCTTCTTTCCCATGGGTTCCCAGAGCTCTGTGTACATTCCCACAGAATTAATGCTTGTCATGTAACATTCATTCATTTCCAGAGTCACTTCTGAGCAGAATAACATCAGGTCTGGGTCTTTTTCATTCTTGAATCCTCACTCAATAAATCCAAACCCCAAACCCCATGCCCTCCACCTCAGCATTTTATTTATTGACAAAAAGCCAGGCTTTGGGGCTCTGGGACAGAATGAGAAGTCAGCCACATCAACATTCCTCAAGCAACTTATGAAATTAAAAATTACAACCACTGCTCTATAACATTTTTATATAAGCAATAACAGTGCACATGTATTTATTGATCATTCATGCGCTCACTGATTTAAACACTACACACACGTTATTTAATTGAATCCTTACAGTAACTCTAGGAGGTAGATGCAGTGCTACCTCCATTTTACAAATGAGGAAACTGAGGCACTTTCTTCACCAAGGGGATAAAACAGTATCAGAACCCACAAAGTCTGAATCAGGAGCCTGTATTCTCTTTTTTTTTTTTTTTAAAGATTTTATTCATCCATTTGACTGACAGAGATCACAAGTAGGCAGAGAGGCAGGCAGAGAGAGAGAGGAGGAAGCAGGCTCCCCGCTGAGCAGAGAGTCCGATGCGGGGCTCCATCCCAGGACCCTGGGATCACGACCTGAGCCGAAGGCAGAGGCTTTAACCCACTGAGCCACCCAGGCGCCCAGGAGCCTGTACTCTCAACCACTGTTCTAGTATGGACAGGGTGTTGCAGGGACACAGGGGGCCAGTATTGTCTGGGGGGGGGGGCGGTTGGGAGAAAGTCAACCCAGAGGTCATATTGCCTGAGCTGAGCACTTAGAAAGACAAGTAGAAGGTAGCCTGGCAGATAAGAGAAGGGGCTTCCAGGCAGAGCGGCTGGTGCGCAAAGGCATGGAGACACAAAAGTACAAGGTGTGGGCAAGTTCATCCTGCGGCACCTTGTTACTGGAGTTGAGGGTGCACTTAGGAGACTGGCAGGAAAGAGGCCAGAACCCAGACGGTGCTGCAAACTGTGCTGGGATCCACCTTTTTCCACAAGCAAGAAAGTAATGCTATGAGACTTGTGTTTTAAAAAGATCACAAGGGGCGCCTGGGTGGCTCAGTGGGTTAAAGCCTCTGCCTTCGGCTCAGGTCATGATCTCAGGGTCCTGGGATCGAGCCCCACATCGGGCTCTCTGCTCGGCAGGGAGCCTGCTTCCTCCTCTCTCTCTGCCTGCCTCTCTGCCTCCTTGTGATTTCTGTCAAATAAATAAATAAATCTTTAAAAAAAAAATAAAAAAAAATAAATAAAAAAATAAAAAGGGGCACCTGGCTGGCTCAGTCAGAAGTTTAGTTT